ACTCTGAATTGGTTCTTTAATCATTAGAAAACATATTGCTTTGTGATTCAGAGAGGAACCGTTTTACCATCTCTAACTTCCCAACGATCTTGACCAGAATTGTCAGCCTAGCTGTCATTAGAATTCCTAGAACATGTTCTTCCATGTACTATAAACTACCTAGGGGAAAAACACCAGGTTGTTCTGGCAACTACTTATAGCCACTCAATCATCTTAGGTTCTGCTTCCAAATACTTGAGTCCCCGCTGAAAGCAGTGCATTGGAGATCAGAACCTCTTAGGTTACTGGAACTATCTGCCTGTTCCTCGAGCTGTATGAAAAAACAAGTCGGATAAACAGTCACTGCAGCAAAGTAGTCGGGGCATTTCCTCTCATCAAAAATGAGCTCTTGTGAAACAAGATTTCACAGAAGGCAAGTTCTGCATTCATTTAAAAGGTGCCTTCATCAAGAGATTTGCCCAATATTCTTTTAAAATTTACAAATGTGCTTGGTACTCCGAACGACATGTAAACAAAGAGCAGCTCCCTGCCACGAGGTCATAGATAAGCACCTGCTCTCAGCACCAAGGGATTGCCTGATGAGAAGGGCTCACTTGATGCATTAGTGCTTGCTGAGGTTCCTGAAAGGCTGGCGGAGTCATCTACATCTGCCGAGAATTTCTTGCCAGGCATGCACTGGCTGCCTTCCTTCCTTCTTTCCATCAGCACATCAGACTGTTAAGGTGAACCAGTGCCAAAAACATTGATTGTTAAAGAACACACAGCACCCAAGGAAAAGGCGAGTCCAGAATACTCACTCCCGAACATGCCACCTGCTTAGGGAAAAGGTGGGTGCCTGGCTGGGTTATTCAAAAGATTCTCTCCTTTTAGCTGACCATGTCAGGAGGGGACTGGAGAGCACAAGGGAGCAAATAAGGAAATGACAGGCCTTTTCTTACTGAAATCTGTGGCAGTGGTGTCACCAACATCAGCAAAGCAGCATCCTCAGAGAAGCTGTACATATGCTAAACAGATTGAGTTACAGTGGCCATTTTACACTTCTCAAACCTGTTGCCACAGCAGCAAATTTTATGTCTTCTGTCTGTGGAGAGGAAATGGGGAGGGCACTATGGCTAGGTAATCAAATAGAGGTTTTACTTCACATTAATGCCGACAGTCTTTCCGAAGTGCAAATTAAAAGGACTTGCTGGAAACCAGCCCAAGCTGGTGCCTGACAGAGGAGCAATTATGTCATTCGTTACAAACATTGAGAAGTCTAAATTGTTACAGGTTTCCAAAGCGAGAACAGGGTTATGAACAGGAAGGAAACAAGTACGACTACAAAAATTTGTCACTGGCAAACTTTGAACACTCTTGAAAAACATCTCTAGAAAAGGTTTCATTTTAACTTTGTTTTCTGCTGCAGTTGTGGAGTGTCATGCAAAACAACTTTGAGAAGAGCAGTGTTCCACCTGTCAAGGTTTGCCTAGTTTCACAGACTCAAACCACCTACCCCCCATGGCAACTCATTAAAGTGCGCTCTCACGTGCATCCTTTGGGGAACATAGTGATTGTTGAAAATTTGGGAGACTGGAATCTATGAGCTGGGGGAAGAAGGGGAATATGGACTCACTCAGTCCACTTTGAGGTCAGAGGTGGAATAAATAAGTCAAAAGTACTCTGCCTTTCACAACCAACATGGGCAATGGGAGGGCGTGCAAAGGAGGAGGACCAGGCTGGACTAGCAGAAGGTGGAAAGCTGGGGTGAGATCCTGCCCCCAGTGAAGCCCATGGGTGCTTTGCCACTGACTGCAATGGAGACAAGAGTTCAACTCTTGCTGATGCAAATATTAATTTCCCCCTGTTCTCCTGGGGACATCCAAAGAATCACTGTTTGGACATCAAGTATTAAATCTCCATGCACACGCACACACGCGCGCACACAAACACACACACAAACACACGATACAATGAAATGAAATTTAAGCATTTCATTTTCCAGTGTTGGTTTTTCCAACCACCTTCAACAGCTCTTGTCGGGACAACAGGGATCTAAAGTAACTCAAGTAAATCCTTGCCTATTTTAAAAAATCAGATGCATCTTACACTTGGCATTTTTTTCAGGTCACACACCTACGAGCCTGCAAAGGCAAATCATTAGAGGTATTTACTGATACAACATTACCTAACCAGCAGCTTAAAAACAGTAAAAATAAAGTTAATGGGGAACAGAATTTAAGGCATTTTTATTTTGGCCAAGGAATGATGCATGCTACAGATTAATCTTCATTTTCCCACTTGGTTTTCAGATCACTGCACTGTGTGTTTTACATGGCACTTCGTTTGTTTTTACAATTACTCAAGGTTTTCAAGTATTTTCTTCAATACAGATGCTTTCTCTTGCAATTCAGGTCTGCTGTCCAATGCCATGGTAGTTAACGAGCCCATGAGAAGCTCCCTGCTTTGTGGGGTGAGACTTTCCCACTGTTTAGACTCTAGGCGGAGAAAGAGAGACAAGGCACATTTTGGTGTTATTTTCACGTGAATGCTAGAGTGGCTTAAGTAACAAGGCTACCTGGATGAAGTGAAGAGATTCCTTGAAGGGCTCTCTATTGTGTTGGGCTAATTCAACCCGACTTACAAAGATGCCCTGGCTTCAAGGAAGAGCAGCAGTTGCTTAGGCCCAGCTATACTGGGTCCACCATGCTCAAGCACAGGGGCAGAGTCACTTCACGATGGCTTCAAAAGAAAGGAGAAGAACACGCAGCCACCTCCTGCTACAGTAAAGGAGGTGCACAGGGCTACAGGCTGGAGCCTAACAACTTAAAGGAGAAATTTGCTAAACAATGACAAAGAACAGCCACAGCTGCACTGGAGGCCGGAGAGAACACATCTGTTTTAGGTCTAAGGATGGTTTTTCAGGGAATAAATTCTCAAACTGAAGCTGAGGGGCTAATTGCAACAGCTCCTCCACCCCACCAGAGGGCAGACTGTGGTCCCTCCATGGGGCACTATGTAAAATCTGAGCCCACAGATTATCCAGAGAGTTGGAAGCAGGCCTGTGTTGCCTACACAGAGCTCTTGCTCTCCCCTCCAGGGGAAGAACTCACATTTCAGACCTCAACTTTACCCCTATCTTCTCCAAGACTGTCCCTCCATGTCTCCTTCCTGCTCCCATGTACAAGGCTGCATGCACATCATACATCATGACACTACATGCATTTCCAGGAAGGAAAAGCACCATTTGCTGGGTCACAGTGTTGCTCATAGGGCATCTAGTGGTGGCACTGCAAGACACTGCGTCTCTACACTTCCAGGCCTCTGAGCCATGCACTGAGCTGGACTCCCGAAGCCCAAAGAGCCTCACCTGAGAGTTTGGTGAGCAGCAGTTCTATCACAGACAAGGCTTCTGTTCTTATGGAGGTGTAGCTTTTATTTTCTGAGAGAGAAAGAACATATTCAGAGTGCACAAAGAGAGCATTAACTATTTGTAATCACAGAGCACTTGAGCTCGTGCAGTTCAGAATGCTTCTGTCCCTCACGTAACCTGTACAGAATGCCCCACACATCTTAACGGCATTGGGCTCTGCCCATACAGGCTCCTTATGCCCTGTTACTGAATCCACAAAAGCATCAAGCAGGACCTTCCACCACAAACCCCACGGTCCCTCTGTTTCACAGGTGAGAGGAACAGGAAAGTGACAAGCCTGGTAAACACAGCAGCACCATCCGATTTCTACCCAGGAGCCCTCAAGAAACAACTCTTGTATGTGAAGGAAGCTCTCTGCCAAGAACTCTGTGTGGTCAATGCTTAAAATAATCATCTGGGGATTTTCTAATTCAGCAGAAGGTAGGGCAGGGTGGCCCCTTAGAGACCACCTGGTTCAGAGAGGCATGACCTTCTGTAGGCAACAGCCTACTTCACAGATGCTAGGAATGGTCCTGCTCTATGTTCTGCCTGACTCCAGGGTAACAAGGCTAACTACCTCCAAACAAAGATGAGGCTGCAACAGGAGGCTTCCACTAGTGAGCACAAGGCAAAAACAGCTCTGATCAAGTTGTTTTCCTGAGACCATTCTGCAGCACAAAAGCCTGCGTGGGCCTTAGCTACAGAGGTAAAATCCTCACTCCCACTTCAGCCTCTTTATGCTGGAAAGAGCTGTATTGGCAAAAATCCCTGGAAGTATAAGGCCAGGGAAGAGTCCTTGGCACAGCAGATGGCTGTAATGTTCATACTCAGGACTGAGCCTGAAGTGAGTGAGCACTTTGGGGGAGATTCTGGGCAGTGCTGCCATCCACTGGGGAGGCTGGCATAGATTAGACAGGCCTTTCCATCCCTGGGATCAGCCTGCATTGTGGAAGGGCACAGCAGTTGCTTAATACACAGGTAGCTTGGACCCTCTCCAATGTGCAGCACAGAATGTCTGGGGAAACCGTAGAGGAATCTGTGGTTGGGGATAAATGTGGGCTACAGGTTCTGACATGTATTAGGCCTAGCTTCAAAGAATATATTTACTCCGTGCCCTGCTCCAGTGTGCTGAGCCTCAGGCCAGCTGTGAACAAGCTGACAGAGTAGAGCAAACATATCAGACCTCTGTGTTACAAATGGCTGAGCTAACCACAGGTCTCTACAGTACCCTACAGAGTGGAACATGGACATAGCCAGAAAGTTTGAATGGAGAGAAGGGAAAATGGATCTCACTAAGCAGCAGTAGAGTTTGACTGTATGGAAGAAAGGAGAAAATATGGAAGTAAAAATGCCTGCCAGGACAGCTTTCCATGCAGGTACATGAAGAACTATCTCCCCTCTCCTAGAAGTCAGGCATTTATAGGAGATTCAGGGGTTTCCTGCTTCAGAGGAGTTTGATGTCCCTAGGCAAAGTACCATGGGCAACTCCACTTTCAACAAAAAAACCAACAACATTGAAATAAGCAATTAATTCCTAGCCACCTGTTGGAAAATATTTACCTAGTGAGTGTGTGATAGATGAGCAGGTTTCCAAAAGTATGCCTCTCAAAGCCCCAGGGTCCAGGTGCTCCTCATCAAAAAGCATCAGCCTAGCAAATTGGAAAGCCATGTTAGATGGGTCAACTTGGGAAGAGGTATAAAGTGGGGTCCTGGATCTAGTATTAAACATTAACATCTTCATTAATGATTTATATATGATAGAATCAAGTATACACTTGGCAAATTTGCAGATGACACCAAATTGGGTGGAGTTGCAGACATTCCTGAGGGTAGGGCTAGGATCCAGAATGACCTGGATGAACTGGAAAACATGGTCCAAAATTAATCAGATAAAACAGAAGGACAAACGCAAATCCTGCACTGAGAATAAAATAATTGCATGCACAAATACAGACTGGGGAATGATTGGCTAGGCTGCAGAACTGCAGAGAGGGACAGGGGGTTACAGCTGACTGTAAGCTGAATATGAGCTAACAGTATTGCAAAAAAACCCAACAGCATCCAGTGTTGTATTAACAGGATTCCACTTGAAAATCAAGGGAACTGATTCTTCTGCTGTTTTCAGCACTGGTGAGGCCTCACTTGGAGTACTATGTCCAGTTTTGGGTCCTACACTTCAAGAAAGATGTGGGCAGATTGGAAAGAGCCCAGTGGAGACTGATAAAAATTATTAGAGGCCTGGGAAACATGACTTATGAGGAAAGGCTGAAACAACTGTGATTATTTAGTCTGGAGAAGAGAAAACAGAGGGGGGACAGGATAATAGTCTTCAAAATACCTAAAGGGCAATTACAAAGAGGATGGAGATGGGCTTTTTTCTGTGGCTTTAAGGAACTGAACCAGGAGCAATGGCCTCAAGCTGCAGCAGACGAAATTTAGACTGGAAATAAGGACGAACTCTCTGACTATGAGGGTGTTAAGCACAACAGGGTACCTAGAGAAGAAGCTGTGGAATCTCCACCCCTGGAAGTTTTCAAGGGCAGGATGGACAGACACTTGGCTGGGATGGTTTGTTTAGTCAGGGATGATCCTGCCTTCAGCAGGGGGCATAGGCAGATGATCTTGGGAGGTCTTTTAAAGCCCTACTTTCCTATGATCTACTGAACTGGTTTTGAGGAATTATGATGGTCCCAGTTACTGTGCAGTTGTCACAAAAAGGATCAACATGCCAGAGCAAAATACGTGCAATGGAAGCAAAGCACAGGCAAAAGAATTACCCTTGAAAATAGGCATTCATCGCCTGCAGGACTCCCAGCTGCACTTTCCACGTGCTAAGTTTCAGACGCTCGCACATTAACTTGCACAGCTCTTGCCGATAGCAGCCTGCAAACAAGTTAGGGTTTTGTTACATCAACAAGCAAAATTAGCAGCAAACATTTCCCACTTGGCAAAGTCACAGTTTGCACCATAGCTCCCAGACCTGGCTACCATCACAGCCTCCTCCCACAAACCATACTGAAGCTCTCCATGATTCAAGGCAAGACAGCACATTTCTTTCACAAGTAGCTGTAGACAAACAACTCAGTCCATATCCTTCAGAGGTGTTATTGGCTTCAATGGAAACTTGAGTACTCGGTGCCATGGACAGCTTGTTGTCTTATGTCAGGCACCCCAAGGTAGAAAGTGTTGGCCCAAGTGAATCATCACAGTGCTCCCCACTTGTTAACAGCGTAGCTAAGGGAGCTTGGGAGAGGTGTAAATTTTGGTAACTTTCATGAGTGAGGAGCATTGAGAACAGCTGGCTGTAGTGACTCAGTGATCACTTACTGCAGTGGGAAAGGCAGCTCTGCTTTTCCCCATTCGTGGCCAGCAAGGAAAATCTAACCCACTGTAGCCAAATACCTTCAAGGTGATGAAAGGACTTTGAAAACCTCTTGATATTCCTACCCTTCCCTCAATGTGCTTTCAGGCTTCCCTTTTAACATGGATACTCTTTGCCCCACCTACTGCTGGTCTTGCCTGTTATGTGCCTGACCCGACTTACGTTGCGTCTCCAGGCTCCTAGGCCAGGCCTTGCCCAGACTCTCAAAGGCACAGAGCAGAGTTTCCATCTGTAGCTCCTTTTCCTGTTCGTTCTCATCCTCATCATCACCCTTTGGTAAACTGGCTCCCATGCTCCCATGAGAATTCTGAAGAGGTATCAGGATGGGTGGGTCAGAAGAGGGGTGTGAGAAGTATCGGGTGTTGGCAGAAGAGAAGAAAGACCAACTATAACACTGGCTTACATTGTGCTACACTTGTTTAACAATACCTTGAGCCCAGCAGGCCCTGTACCTACTCACTGTATCCTTGAGATCCACTCAGTTTATTGCATTGCTGTTGCTATCAGCAACAGTTGCAGAAATTAGTATAATTTCTCTTTCATGCTGCAGGACTCTGGAGGGCTGTAATGACATTAGGGCCCAGGAACAGAGGAGGAGAATGCTTGGCATTCACACTGACATCATCCTGATCTGCAGATACGCAGCACCTGAAAATCATGTCCTGAGACTCAGGTGGAGGTAACAATCAATGGGGACACACACCATGTGCCAATAGCACGGTTGAAGAAGCAGTATTAGGAACAGACAGTGAGAAAACACTGGCTCCTACAGCAAGTGCCACAGGAGCTTCTCTCTGCTGCAGAGTAGTTATGCAGAGAGGCCATCGAGTGTTCTTGGAAAACACTACATCCTCTCAGTTGCACAGACCTCAACTTCAGCTTCCTTCCCAGGTCAGTCTGAAGGGGAGTGGATATCACCAAGACTCCCCCACTGAGAGGCCTGATGTACACCCCAACACTGGGCCAATCTGTATCAGGAACATGTCTCACTTACATCAGCAGGCACCAGGAAACAGGCCAGATTGGGGAAGAGGCATATGAGTGCAGCCCTCAGGGGGTTCAAAGAAAGTAAGCTCAGGAGACAGAAGGGTCACCTTCTTTATCATAGGGAAGATGATGTCAGCCAGCTCCTGGAACCGGTCCTCCTTTGTCACCTGCAGCACCTCTGCTGCACAGCGGAGGGCAACGATTTTGTACGTGAGGTTCTCTTTGCGGCACTCCTTCAGGATGGCCTGGACAACGTCACTGATGCTGGGCTGATTCGGCACTGGTTTCTGCAGCTCAGCACTGAAACACCAGGTGCATGAATGGTCAACGTCAAGTGCCATCCTCATGGACCCAGCAAATTCAACAAGGCCCCAGACTCCAAAGCCACAGACCCCAAAACAATTCCAAAACTAAGACTTCTGTTAGAATTTACTATTTTTTTTTTGTGTCAGTAGTGGATTGTTCCAAGTCCCTGTGCACCCTCTCAGTCTCATGGGTGCTGAGGAAGGGCTGAAACCCGGCCTGGCAAATTCAGTGCTCTAGGCTTCCCCAAGACAAATGGGTGATAAGCCAACCCATTCACTTCAGAGAGTACATTCATGAAGGGCAGAGGATGCATGGGCATGTCCACACACTTCACTCTATTTTGCCATTCAACTCTCCCCTAAGCACCATGCTAGTGCGTCATACTTCATCTCTGTAGCTTCCTTCTCATTTTTTAAATACATCCTTTCCCTTGCTTATTGTATTCCCTCTTCCTTCCACTCTTATCTGCTTTACTATCTCAGTCTTGTGCCTTATCCGTCCTCAAAGAACAGACACCCTGACCTCTACCTCAACAGATCCCAGCCCTCTCCTCCCTTCCATCCCAGCACCCTAGATCCAAGGAGAGGGGAAATAAAGTGTTCATGTCCACTGGGAGACTTGGGCAGTGCTCAGATCCTACCATCTCCCACTCCTCACTAAAAGAGCAGGGGACAGCAGAGTTTCCCAATCTCAGATCTGGCAGGCAGTAGCCATGTGTGGCAAACCCTTGCTGGAGAGTCTGAAGGTACAGTGCCTTCACTGGGAATAGTTACCTGCATGCAGAGACCACGCTGGCGACAGCTTTCAGCAACTCCTCCTGTGAGCATTAAACAGAAGAGAGTGCTCGTAAGCATCACTGCAGTAGGGTGGTGCCCTCCTGCTACGTGACACTTTTCCAAGTAACCCTGGGTGCTGGTAGCATCAACAGACACTGCAGTAGCCCTCAAATGCCACTCCCCTCTACCAGAGACAAGCTCTTCCCAGCACTCTGCTGCTGGACACGCATTTTTTGCTCTCTTCCTTCCCATTTCAGCATCCTTTACATTGTGTGATAGTCCCCCACTGGACACTGATGCATGGTAATATTACATGCCCCGACATTCTTGTTTATGTGTTTACACTGACCTAGCAGCATAAAGAGGCTGTCCAGTCTGTCCACCTGCAAGTTAGTCCCCTTTAATGGCTAGAGTAGTGTAAAGTGATCTTAAATGAGAATCTGACTGCAAGGTATTCTGAGCTCCAAACTTATTTCCATGAGGTACTGGACACAGCAAGAAACTCCCCATGGTACCACCCCTAGTTTGCCCTGCCATTTAAAAAATGAGGGCTTGTGCCACCTGCCACCAGTCACGGACAAAGCAGTGCAGGTACCCACTTTGTTAAAACTGCAAGAACCAGGGCCAGAAAACCAATGCCTCCCTCTGCATCTGAGAGGCATACAAGACAGATTCATAGATTCATAGATTTAGGGTCGGAAGGGACCTAGTAGATCTTCTAGCCTGACCCCCTGCCAGGGCGGGAGAACAACAAAACCCCAAAACAAGAAACGGGACTCAAATGAGTCCAGCCAGGTAGGCATCCAGCCTCTTCTTAAAGACCCCCAGGGTAGGGGCCAGCACCACTTCCCTTGGAAGTTGGTTCCAGCTCCTAGCCGCCCTAACTGTGAAGTAGTTTTTGCGGATGTCCAATCTATACCTCCTCTCCATCAACTTGTGCCCATTACTCCTTGTTATGCCAGCGGGCGCTAGGGGAAACAGCGTCTCCCCCAAACCCTTCTGGTCCCCCCTAGTGAGTTTATAGACGGTCACCAGGTCCCCCCTCAGCCTTCTCTTGTGGAGGCTGAATAGGTTCAGGTCCCGCAGTCTCTCACTGTAGGGTCTGCCCTGTTGTCCCCGGATCATGCGGGTGGCCCTCCTCTGGACCCTCTCCATGTTGTCCACATCCCTCTTGAAATGGGGCGCACAGAACTGGACACAATACTCCAGCTGTGGCCTGACCAGCGTCGCATAGAGGGGGAGGATCACCTCCTTG